GCACCAGTGCCGAGGCCGGCAACAGCGCCGCGGCCGGGACTGCTAGCGCGACGAGTGCCAACGCCGCGGCCAGTCGCCCTCGCGCTGTGGCCAGCATTAGCGCGACAGCCTCATCCAGCACGCCCGGAAGCGTGGCTCTCGCTCGCGCGCGTGCGCAGGTCATTCCCGGCGCCAGCCGACGAGAGGCCAAGCCCGGCAACCCCACAGACGATGTCGCCTCTACGGCTGTCGCCACGGTCATCGATCTCACCCGTGACAGCCAGACCGACGCAGAGCTGGGCAGCAACCGCGCTGATGCCGGCGCCGTTATCGACCTCACCAACGACAGCGAGACCGAGGCTGAGGTCGACGTCGGTGCATTCTTCGCCACGGCCGCGGACATGGACGTCGATGGCGATGACGTCGAGATCAAGTCTGAGCCTGATGTCGGCGCCTTTTTCGCCGCCGCCACTGCCGACGACAGCGAGACCGAGACCGAGCCCGATGTCGCCGCCTTCTTCGCCGCAGCCACCGCCGATCCGGCCCACGTCGGTGGAACTGCGGCTGAGACCCACGTCGAGACTACCTCGGTCGCAGCCAATGTCGTCAGCATCGACGACGATAGCGAGACCGAGCTCGAGCCCGACGTCGGCGCCTTCTTTGCAGCCGCCACCACTGGCGACGACAGCGAGGCAGCCAGGGTCGACTCTGTTATGGCCGTCGACGATGACAGCGAGACCGAGATCGAGCCCGACGCCCCTGGCGTCGACATCGACAGCAGCGAAACCGAGGCCGAGCCCGAAGGCCGTGTCCCAGTGCCCCCCGCCGACCTGCCCGCCGTCCACCACAACAGCGACGACGACAGCAGCTTCGTCGACGCCGACCCCGGTTTGGACACCAGCAGCGAGTGGAGCAGCGATGGCAGTAGCATGGACGTTCCCATGGCCGACGCCGTGCCGGACGACTTTGACGACTTCCTCTACCGCGGACGATCCTGCGAGAGCATCAAGCACATCGTGCACCCCGGCAACTACTTCAACGCCCATCCGGACGGAGCGCGCAAGGCGATCGACTACCCTGGCACGCCGCGTGGCTTCCAAGCCAAGCCCGGCGACTGGGCCTGCAAGGCCGATGTGCTTCGCACCCTGGCACAGTCTAACGACAAGGACCTGCGCCAGGACCACATCCACGACGTCGACATCGACGTCCCCACCGTCCGCGTGCCCGGCGGTACCAGCCACGTCATGCAGTACAGCGAGGTCCTGGGCAGGGACACCGAGCTGTTCGAGGTCGCGGGCGTCCGCGTGTACCACGCGCGCGACCTGTTCGGGGCGGACGCCAAGAATTTCTTCTACACGGCCCCATCTGCAGGTGCTTTCGTCGCCTATCGCTCCACCGGCTTCAGCGCGAGGCCTAACATCCCGGCCCGGAACCTTCGCCCAACGCTCCAAACGGGTGTTTTCTTCTGGCCCGAGGAGACGGTGCGCGCCTACCTCGAGTATCGGGCGAGGCTCGACTCGGACGACCCGCCGCCTCGCAACATTACCCGACAGGTGGTCCTGCCCGCTGACCAGATCCGCGGCCTGTCACTGCACGAAGCGTGCGTCAGGTGGTGGGAGCAGCGCCCGGACGCCTTCCGCTATGGTGACGTGGTCGACGTCACAGTCGAGGCCTACATGGCCGTCGAGGCGTCGCATCCGCTCAAGACCAAGTTTGGCGGCTTCCGTGGCCAGCTCGACGGCGACCTCCGCGACCTCGTCACCGCCGCGCGCCTCACGCCCGAGATCCAGGACGCCCTCAACCTCATCGGCGGTGGCTGGTTCCTAGGCCTGTACCTCGGCGACGGGACCTACATCACCGGCACGCCTACCGTCGCCGTCGGCGGTCACGAGGACGCCATCGTCGACAAGATCAGGTCGATCTTCGAGCCCCAAGGTTTCGAGATCAGGGACATTCCGCACGCCGATCGGGACGGGCGCCTCGTCACCGTCAGCGCGATGGCCTACCGCGAGGAGCACGGCGGCAGGACCAACCCCGTCACCGACGCGCTTCGGCTGCTCGGCGCCATCGGTCTCAGGGGCAGGGGCAACAGCCGCGACAAGCACATCCACCCAGCCGTGCTGTGGGGTCCCAAGGTGCTCCGCCAACAGGTCCTCGCCGGATTGATCGACTCCGACGGCTGCCATCCTACGATCCCCGATGGTCCGGGCGACGTCTCTCGCCATGGCGTGAATCGCTGGCACTTCACACAGCACCAGGTCCACGAGCGCCTCATGAACGACACCAAGACGCTGTGCCGCTCGCTCAACCTGATCTCCGGCCACATGCCTGAGACTTGGTCGTACGACGCGGGCATCGACGCGTACTACATGACGCTGGTCCTCTCCGGCCGAGAGCAGGGTGAGGTGTCGCGCCACATCGCGCTCCCGCACAAGCGCGTCGCCGACCGATCCAGGTTCAGCATGGACGCGAAGCCGATCCGCCCAGCTGTCGACGCCTGCCCCGTTGGCGCCGGCTCCTTCGTCAAGTTCAAGGTGTCTGGGGACACGCGGCGTTTCCTGCTGAGCGACTGGACGGTGGTGCACAACTGCCTGGACTTCCCGAACCGTGAGTAGGGCGTGCTATGCTCTTGCTTGCCCGAGACCGCCGGGCTGACATTGGTCGCTTCCCTTTTTCGCCCTTGCTGCCCTTTTCTCCTCTCTGCCGCGCCGCCTCGCCGCCTCGCCCTGCGCCGTTGCCCTGCACCGCCCTCTCCGCCGTCCGCCCGCCCTTCGCCGCCGCCGCCGCCGCCGCCGCAACGCTTCCCTGCGACGCCAGTGACGATCCTCGGTTCGGAGCTGCAGATCCCGTACCAGAGCTTCCTGAAGCTGGAGAAGCTGGGCGACCGGGTGCTGTCGGCGACGGGACCGGCGATGCTGCTGTACTCGGCGTACGACGCGTGGCTGGAGACGATCTCGTCGTACACGGCGTTTTCGCGGCTGATTCTGCTGCTGCGGGCGCTGCACGTCAACCAGGAAAAGGCCAAGGTGATTCTGCGGCCGCACCCGGGCGTGGTGACGGAGCCGCACCACCTGTGGCCGACGCTGAGCGACGACGAGTGGGTCAAGGTCGAGGTGCAGTGCCGGGACCTGATCCTCGAGGATTTCGGCAAGCGCAACAACGTCAACACGAGCAGCCTGACGTCTTCCGAGATCCGCGACATTATCCTGGGCATGCAGATCCAGGAGGTGAGCGCGCAGCGGCAGGAGATGGCCGAGCTGGAAAAGAATGCCGAGGCGGCGCAGCAGGTGACGGCGACGCAGACGCGCACCGTCAACCGGCACGGCGAGGAGATTTCGACGGTGACGACGACGCAGTACGAGAACAAGGTCTTCAGCAGCAAGAGCGACTGGCGGGTGCGGGCGCTGAGCGCGACCAACCTGCCGCTGCGCTGCCAGCACCTGTACGTGTCCAACGACGAGGTGCGCGACGACGCGGGCGCGCTGACGTACGTCGTGCCCAAAAACATCCTCAAGACGTTTATCGTCAGCGCCGACCTGCGCACCCAGGTGGCGGGCCTGCTGTACGGCGCCTCGCCGCCCGACGCGCCGTCGGTCAAGGAGGTCAGGGTGATTGTGTGGGTGCCGCAGCGCGGCAGCAACAACGGCGTCGAGCTGCCCGCCGAGCTGCCGCAGCACGACTTTATGCTGCGCGACCTGGAGCCGCTCGGCTGGATCAAGACGCAGGCGGCCGACCTGCCGCACCTCTCGCCGCACGACGTGGCCATGCACGCCAAGCTCATGTCGAGCCACGCCGAGTGGGGCGCCAGCTCGATCTGCATCACGTCGGCCTTTACGCCCGGATCCGTCAGCCTGTCGGCCCACAGCCTCGCCGTGTCCGGCTTCGAGTGGGGCCGCAAGGCCGACCCGGCGGCCATTGCGGGCGGCGCCGCCGGCTTCAACGAGGGCATGTCGGAAAAGGTGCAGCTCCTCCTGTCGGACCGCATCCTCGGCACCACGCTCGTCCCCTCGGACGGCGTCTGGAACTATGGCCTGTCGCTCTCGGCCCAGTGGACGGGCGCCATCAAGTACTCGGTCGTCCTCGACCGGCCAAAGGCCTTTTGGGACGAGGCGCACCGTCCGCAGAACTTCCTCTCCTTTACCACCGCCGACGAGGGCGAGGGCGAGGGCGCCGACTGGCAGGATGCCTTTGCGTAGCGCGGCGCGGCGCCGTGTCGCTCAGCCCGTCGGGCGGTCCCAATCCAACGGTCGATCCCTCGCTGTCGATGTTCCGTCCGTCTCTCATCGCCGCTCCTCACCTCCCCCTCTCCCCCTATTCCCCTTCCCGTTTCGTTGTTCCGTCCGTTCCCCTGTACCAAAACCCAGCCCGTTCTTGTAAACGATGACGAGTTCACGCGCTCGCGATGATCCACAGATGCGATGAGATGCGATGCGATGTGGTCCGATTCCATGGCCGTCTACGCCGTATCGGGGCCCAGCTGGTTGAAGCCCGTCGATGGCGCGCGCATGTGGATCGAGGGGCACCGAGGGAAGAGGAGGAGGTGGGGCGGGTCGGGTCGCGGCCAGCCTGCCTGCCTGCGTGGGCCGTGGAAATTCGAGCTCGGGCCTCCCTAGCCTCCCCTGCTTTCGTTCTCGCGAGGCGCTGCAGCGGGCAGGCAGGCGGGAAGCGTCCCCACCTCTCGCCCTCGCCCTCGCTTCCTTCCACTCGCTTCGACCACCTTCACCCACCTCTCTCTTCCTCTCCTCCGCATCGCCACATTCCGCCAACCGCTGTGCGACACTCTCGCACGACCGACGACGACGACGACCACGCCAACCTCCATCGACGACCATCCATCGACGACCATGAGCGGCTACGAGCTCCACCAGAAGCTGCGCACCAAGACGGTGCGCCAGGTCAAAAAGAAGCAGTACGACGAGGCCATCTCGACCCTCTACCAGGGCGCCATTGATCTGCTCGACCAAAAGGAGCAGGGAAGCGCCTGCGACCTCGCCCTGTACATGATCGACGTGTACGGCTTCAAGTCGCAGCAGGTCGACTCTGAGAGCAGGGGTGAGTGCCAGCGCAGCCTTGCGTGGGGGATGTCGTCGACGTCCCGGACTCGACGCTCATGGCCACTTTGTTTCATCTTGCACCTTTACCGCGCTGGCCAGACCGCATCACCGAGATCCTCGGCAAAGCCCAACCGGACTTTTGGAGAAAGAAGGTCATCGATGCGGCGCTCAAGTGAGTCGCACGGCCCCGCTCATCCATCCCGTCAGGCGCCACCTGCTGACAGCAGCCGCTGCCTTGCTCCCTCTCCCTCTCTCTTCCCGACTCGCATCGCAGGTGGTCCGCCAAGGCGTCCGATGCACCCGCCGGCGACCCGCTGCTGCGTCTCTACATTGCCAAGATGCTGGCCAAGGAGTCGGCGTACCACCTGGCCGAGCCCCACTTCATTTCGGCCTGCATCCCGGCGCCGACGACCTACACCATCGAGAGCGCGCCCAAGGCATTTGCGCAGATGATGCTCGACTGGCTCGTCGAGCACTCCAAGGCGGCCACCGAGGTCGAGGGCGAGACGAGGGACACCAACGCAATCGAGAGGATCGAGGCGGGCCGCTTCGCTCTCCGAGGCGTCATGCCGTAAGTAGGATGCGGGCAACGTCGACTGGCCATTCGCTTGGTACAGAGGCGGGATCGCTGACCGACGCACCGCACACACCTCCTTGCCATGTCTGCCGCACTCGCCCATCTTCGGTCACCCGCGCAGTCTGCTCGCCAGCAGGGCCGTCTCACCGGCCCGCAGCTTCCTGACAGGCTACATCGAGCTGACGACGACGCGCCAAAAGTCGCTGCTGCTGCCCGTCCAGCCCAACCCGCGCCCCTATGTGCCGCCGGGAAGCAGCGGCAGCGCGGCCAAGTCGGACCTGCAGCTCTACCTCACCGCCAACGCCGACCTCAACTTTGCCCAGATGGCGCTGGCGCTCTGCATCGAGGGCGACAGGATCAAGTCGACCGGATCCGGGTCCAGGGCCGCCCCGGACTGGCTCAAGAGCGCCTGGACGGCGCTGGTGCGCCAGTACGAGCGGGAGGCTGCCGCGCTGCAGCAGGAAGAGGGCGTTCGAGAGGTGAGTCCGAGCTCGGGATCGTGTCGGTGACGCTGGTGGCCTGATGCGCTGATGCTTTGCCGATATCCTGCCTCACCCCTTCCGCCCAACTTTGCCCCGGCACCCTCGCGCGCACACAGACGATCCCGCACCTCTCGGCCATCTACTTTGACATTCAGCCGCCGCGCGCGCAGTCCAACATGCTCTCGGACATGATGGCCTCGCTCTTTGGCGGCGGCGGCCCCGCCGCTGGTGGAGCGTCGGCAGCGCGGGCAACACAGCCGGCAGCCACGAGCATCAAGCAGGCCCCGCCGCCGTCGAAACCCGCGCAGACGGCCGCGCCCGCCTCGACGTCGGCACCATCGGCGCAGGCCGATGATCTCGTCGACGATGAGATGGATTGAGATGCACAGCCTGGCCCCCGCCCAATCTAATCGCCGTTTGTTCGTTCCCGGAGACGTCGCTGCGTGATGATCAGGGCAGTGGGGAGGTGCCGTCTAGCGGCATTACTCTCACTTGGCGACGACAGGCACAGGCATGCTGATCTACAATCGACGGGCTGAGCAATCGAGGCAGATGGTACGTCGCCTCCCGTCCACGGCGGCTCAGATCAACCCCTCTGCACGCAGCATCTGGACGTAGGTGAAGGCCATCCTGCGCCCTCGCTCGACGCCGCCCCATCCCTTGTCGCTCTGCGCAGCCGAGTCCGAACCGGCCTGGAGACCCTGAAAGTGCAGACGCACGCCGTCGTCCTGCTTCGCTGGAAGGACAGCAGCAGCAGCAGCGGCGGCGGCGGCCTGCTGCTGTTGCGCTTGGGCAGTAAGAAGACCGAGCGGCTTATCGTCGTCTTCGTCCGAGTCTTCCGCGGGCACGCCGACCGTCGCTGAGCCGGGTGGCGCTCCGTTTTCGTCGTCGGTATCCATCATGTCGATCTCCGATGCCCCGTCATTGGCCAGCCCACTATCGCCCTGCTCCGCGCGCTGGGCCGAAGCAGCCGCAGCGCGATCCCGCTTCCGCTGCCGCCTCTGAGCCTCGTCCACAAGCGAACGGCGCTCTATCATGCGCCGCCATTCCGCCCCGCTGCGTGGTACCACCTCCTCCCACAGCTGGTCCGAAATGACGGGTACCGTCACCGAGCCGCTCTGCGATGCGCTGGCCGCGGACGGCCGGGCCGGATTGACGCCGCCGCCGCCCATCATACCCACGTTGGACCCGGGAAATGGCAAAGGGGCCATGCCGGCGCCCATGGCGGATCGACTGCCGTAGCCCGGCATGCCTCCCGACGCCGCGAGACCACCGCGCGCATGGACGCCACCGCCGCCGGCCGTAGACATGCTGGCGCCGCCCTGGCCGGTCCCTCCGATCGTCGACGTCGTCAGCATGCCGATGTTGGGCGGCAGGAGGGCCTGGAGAAAGTCGGTGAGCATGCCAGTCCCGGGCGTGCCGGACTCGAGCGGAAGAAACTCGGCCTCGATGACGGCGCCCGCGCTCCGACCTCCTCCGCCCACGACGCCGCCGACGCGCACGCGCCAGTTGCTGCTCTGCATGACCGAGGAATCAGCGGGACCGCCGATCGGACCGGCGGCAGCGGCGGGCATGTGGCCGATGTCGAGGACAAGCCCTTCGATGCTCACTGCTGCGCCTCGCGGGACCCAGGCTCCAGGCCCGGCGGTGCCTACGGGTGCGCCGTGGGGTGGCGGCAGGTTGAGCTTGGAGAGGAGCGCCGGCAGCGAGGCCGAGAGCACCGAGAGCGTGAGGCGGGTGTGCGAGGGCAGGCGGAACGGCGGTTTGGGGCTCGACGTGTGGCTGCCGAGGCCGGCGCGGCCTTGTGCCGAGCTGGCGGCGTCGACCATGACCACGTCGTCGTCTGCGGTGGCAGCAGCAGCAGCAGCGACAGGCTGGCCCTGATCGGGGCTGGTGATACTGACCGCAACGCTCTGAGACTGCGATGCGGGTGCGGAAGAGGCGTCCGGTGTCGGTGCAGCGGCTGAAGCGGTGGATTGCGCCGCGGCAGGGTCGGACTGGGAAGCTGATTGCGGTTGCGGCTGGGTATCTGCGGGCGCTGCGCTGTCGGCGTCGTTGATACTGGGCCCCTGATGCGTGGCTGCTGCTCCCGTTGCTGCGCTGGCGTCGTCGTGTGCGTGCTGGGCCTGTTGTGCGCGCCTTGTGGACTCTTGGCGGAGGTGCTGCCTGCGATCCTTGCGCCATGCCTTTTTCCTGACTTCCCACTCCCTCCACACCTTTGCCCTGCTCAGCTTTCCGCTGTCTTCGATCAGGACAAAGACGAGGCCGGGGTAGTCGGAGATCCAGATGTGCCACATGGTCCTGGGTTTTGTGATGGGGGTAGGGCCGCCGTCGTTTGCCGCGGCCGCTGGCGAGGCGGAGGAGGAGGACGAGGAGGCATTGGCGGCGGCGGCGGATGCGTGGTTGGCGGTGCTGCTGGTGCCACTGGCGTCGTCGTCGTCGCGAGGGTAGGCGCTGGCGGGGACGGGTACTGCGCGAAAGGATCTGATGGTGATGGTCCAGCGGGTGACGACGCGTGCGCCCGAGGCCGTCTGGATGTGGGTAAAGAGGGCGGGGATGGATTGGGCCGAGAGGTTGGGGAGGCGCGCGGTGCTCGACACGCCCATGGCGGGTGGGCAAGAGGGGGATGAGGAGAAGCAGGTGGAAGAGGAGATGCGGGCGGTCAGCTGAGGGCAAAGGGCGATGCGATGGTGGTTGGTGTGTTGGATGGGTCGGGGTTGAGACGGAGGCGGCAAAGAAGAAAGGTCAAAGGTGGAGGCCCACCGGCCGTCGGCGACGGAAGATGTCGACAGAGAGAGACACACACCCACCGCTCACCGCACGGCTCACCCGACCAAAGGGCAGCGGCCTCGGCCTCGGCAACCGTCGGTTCAAGCTGCTCCGGCAGCGGCAGCTACAGTGTGTAGTATGTACCCTCGCCTCGAGCTTTGGTTGGCGAGCAAACGCAACTCTTCACTGACCACCACCATCCCCGCGTCCGTCTACGCCCCTCACACCATCCTCCACCTCGTCAACATGGCCGCCCAGACCGACTCGCCCAGCTACAGCGTACGACCCGCCACGGTCAACGACGTCGCCGCCATCCTCGACTTTGTGCGTCAACCCTGGCACGAATGACTGACCATCGACTGCTCAATGAACCCGCCCACTGACCCAACGGCCGACATTGATCCCGCCCCCCCCCCCCNCCCCNCCTCNCNCACGCNCNCTACGACGATCGACCGACCGTACGACGTACGACGCGACGAGACGACGACCGTGCCGTCGCGTCGCGTCGTCG